GGAAATCGTAAAAGCTTATATGACTTCAGATTAGATCAATTAGAAAATTGCTTCGGACAGTGAAACAATACGTTTTAAGTCTCTTTAGATTTCAATAATAACGCTTTTTCTCAATTTGCTTTCGACACTTCTAATTTCAATATACATTAAGATGGTTATACTCGTAATAGGTACTTTTCAATCCATCGAAGGTATCCATTATATGTATATTCGTAAACCAGGAAAAGGAAAAATTTTGCAACAAATATTCAGCAGAAAGTATAACGGACAAAACAAGCGCAGTAACATATTCTTGTACCTCTTCAGTGGCTTCATACATCAGCATTCTTCAATCAAGGCAAAATAAGATATGCCGATGTAAAATAAAAAATCAAGATGTTGACACAAAGCTCACTACTAAAGCTGGAGAACGCTTCTTACTTGCGGTATACAATTTCAATGGCTTGAAAAGTATGTCGTTAAACAACTATATGCTTCACAAAATCAGAATATAAATATACATTAATCTTGCATTGCTGCCATCGATAGAAACAATTGAACATTCCTTCCGAATCACTAGATCCGACAACGGTGTGGAGTTGAACAAAATGCAGATGGAGATGGAAAAAACAAGAACGGGTTCATTCCTGTCAGCAGTTCCGGAAAACTTGTTAAAATTTATTTACTGCAAATCACAAAATGGATGTCCTGGAGTCTGTGGATGCATGAAAAGTTATATCGAAGTGCTTCACTATTTGCACGTAATTCGTAAGATCCATTATAAGATAGCAATGAAGAGGACAAATGCCAACATATTGACAAAAGCTTATACTTCGCAGATATAACGGAATATATATAACATATTTTAAGACAAATTTTAAACCCTATTTGTAATTTTGTTAGCTTTTTACTTTTTTCTAGAAGATAGATTTCCAATATATAGATCTAGAGTTACAATCTATGTAAATCGTTCTCCGTTGGCGATAATATTTACGAACAGAAATGACAGAAACCATATACCTATAAAAGAGTTTTGTTTTCTAAGATCTATTTAACATGCTGATGATGACGATGGCAATAACTTGAAAACATCAATGTACACCTTCCAGAAGCTTCTTTCTCTGCCTTCGACTTCACATCAGATGTGTTAAAATACCCATCCCAATAACATATACCATATTTTGGGTATACGACCAACATGGTAACTGGGGGTATTATAACAAAAACATCCAAAAGTGTGGTCAGTAACAACAGGAATACTGTCAGGATAAATGGAAAAAAAAACTCAAAACGGTTTATTAAAAAATTTTATTTTGAATAAAATATTTATACAAAAAATAGGTATACACTTGGGTTTTTCATATAGTTTGAACATCTCAAATACCTCAACGTTTTAAAGCTAAATATGACACGACAAATCAGAATTTATTCAATTTTCAATTTTTTTAATCAGAAACAAGTTTTGTATCAGTTTTCGATAAATTTGTTTTTACCTAAAATATAATAAACAAAAGACAGCAAGATTTTATTTTCCAACATTTCAAAAAAAATTTGCATTTTCAATTTTACACCAACTATTAATTTTCAAACTTCTGGTAAATTGTTTATTTTTACATGTAAACATTTTAATATATAAATATAAAGGAACCTTTATAGGGGTAATGTCAAGGCTTAAATTATAGTTTTTGTAACTATTTAACACATTTTTATATAAAAAAAAGGTAAAGTTCATTAAACTTGTTTATCGAGTTACGACGCTTATTTTATAATTTTATTTTGATTTAAGTTAGACATATACATTTATTCAAAAAATGTTATCTAGGTTTTCTTAGTTATTTGCTGTTACAACCTTTGATGTACCTTAACCATATTTAAGAGAAAATTTCGGTGTACTTCGGAAACGTCGTCTTTACGTGGGGTGAATGACACCCCGTGTGTACAATTTTTTTTTTTTAATTCTCAAAATATTTTAGTATTATTTTCAAGAAACATAGGATCAAGTTGAAAAGAAAAAACGGCTATACCTGAAGTATGTAGTTTAGCTCCGAAACGAAGATCAAGTGTCTCACAATATTTACGGGCGTAAATCCGCCATGTTGATGACGCAAGTGTGTGTTGACCGCCAAGTTGAACGTTCGTAATTACACCAATAGTTTTTCTTTTCGTTCGGATCAATAAATAGAAAATAAAGATATAAGTCAATCAATCAATAAATCAATCACTCCAAAAGCCATAAAAATAACGAGTAACTTTTTAGTACAGTTCAGTGCATCCGTTCTTTTTTCTCTTCTTCCGGATCGGCTCAGTAACATCCAGTCACCTGATGTTGGACCAATAGATGCTGCATCGAATATCGATTCGTTTGAAGAATTTGGAATATTCTCTTTCTTACAGAGATTTTCGAAATAATTGTCGAACATACAAATGATGAAATTAAAGACGTTTGTGCAGATATGATAGAGAGAAATATCAACTTGGGGACATATCATAACATACTTGTGTACCGGAAATAAAGACATTGCTCAGCATTTTCTATTACGGTGGTCTGTGGAAATCCTCAACCGTCAACAACACTCACAATTAAGAAGAAGCGAAAATGGAGTTACTTTTTACAGATGTACATATTATGTCAAGGAATCGATTCACATTCTTGGGAAATTATTTACGTGTCGACGACAAAAAAAAAACAAGAGAATTATAAAATTCTCACCGATATGTCAATTCTGGGAAATATTTATAAGTAATTGTCAACGTGATTATACACCAAGAAATTTATGTACAGTCGACAAGCAATTATTAGACCTCAAAGGTCGTAGTTCTTTTAGAGGCCTCGAAATCATGTCATTGAATGATGTGGAAACTTCCTACATGGTAAATAAAAATTCTCTCACACTGTAATAATTTACATCGAAGTGATTTAGGTTCATTATGTTACTCATTTATTTCCAGATTCATGAGATTCCTTACTTCGCGATGGCAATCAGACGGCAGTAATCCTCAGTACTGTCCGAAACGCCTGTACTGTATACCATTTCAAGCGACCGACCATCTCAAGGAAAGACATTGTATAATGAGTTTGCGCAATAATCTGAGACTGGAGATCGCTGGCAAAGACAACGTAGATTTGATGTGAACTATGTCCAAGAGCCAGCGACAAAAGAACGAGTGTTCATGTTTTATCGAAGCACATGGAAAAGCATTGATGCAGAAACAGTTTTAATGCTGGGGTGGCATCCACCCCGTGTGTATCGTATATTGAATTATTTTGAGGTGTGTACAGCAAAGGTTAAACATCCCTTTTATGGGCATAGGAATAGGTAAGTTTCTTTTTATATTCAAAATATACAGCGTACATAAAGTTGGTGTAAAGATGTATACTGAAAAAATAAACAACTTTTCTCTGGCGCTTCTTAAAATTATGAAAAATAAAGCAGTGTAAAATTTGGGGGACAAGGACGATAGTATGATTGCTAACTGCACATTTGTCATATTTTTTGCGAAAATTATTGATTTTAAAAAAGTCATAAGACATAAAGGCATTTAAAATGATCGTGGAATATCAGCTTAAAAAAAGTAAAAATATATCACAAATTAACCTCCACCTTGTCTGTAACATTGTCATCTAAAACAAGAATGTAAACAGATGTTAATATCCTTCAACAAATAAGTGTTCTCTAAGTACACTGCAAATTGATTTTAAGAAATATTCCCAATGCATTTAGACAAATGTTCACTATCCAAAACACACAAAATCTGATTTAAATGACAAACTGTTTACATTCCTTTAAGTTTAAAATATATTAGTTAAAAAAAATAAAAAATTGGTATACAGAAGCACAAAATGTAATCTCTTTTCGGTACCTATTTATAAAATACGAGAAAATCACGATTCATTTTGGAATCAACTTAACAAAAACAATTGAAAAGTGGAAGTGTCAAAAGTGCTAAGTGCCATTTGTTTTACATTGATCGCACCAACAGAGTGGCATGAAAAGAGGAACTAAATTCTTGAACCGATAAGCCGTTTTCTGCGTTTCAGGAGCTTAGCTGATAATAGTTTCCTAATATCTAGTTACTATTAACTATTTGTCTGTAACTTTGTTCGTCAAAATTAGTACTTTTAGATTTCAGACGAAAACCCTTTTTTAAAACGAGTAAAAAGAAGCGCACACACACTATTTAACTATCTTCAGACTAAAAATGTAAGCCAAACTGATATTCAACTGAACCATTAAAAAAACGAACAAAAGTGGAAAAATTTGTTTGTACCACAACATTTTGCACGAAGTTCTCGGGAAAAAAAAGTTTGCGCACAAGACACGTCCTAAAATTAATTGATCCAATAAAAAATACTAACAGGACTGTAATAGGCGATAAATGGTTTAGTTCTATTGAACTATTGAATGAACTGAATAAACAAGAACACAAATATTTCTATATGAACTTACTGCAGTGTTAAAAATTGGTACTTAGCACTTAACGTTTCCCAATTTTTTTTTTTGAAAAATTTTGTTTGAATTTAGTTTGTTTAATTTGTTTGGAATCAGTAAATGTATTTCATAGTAGCATAAACCATATACTGCAAATACTACGTTGTAATTTCACTAACAATTATGTAATAAAGTTTTTCCAGAATAACTCGATTTTACGATTTTGGCAACTTAAACACCGTTGATATTTCCACTACAATTTGCATAGTTAAATATTCCGAAAATCGATTAATAAAAAAATTCCATAAATACAGATATAATCTGATAATGCAGATAAATTTTTTATTAATACACAGCCTTCTTTAACCTCTCTACTTTTATTTCGTTACAATTATTTTTTATAGACCAAATTGAAACGATTATTTTTTGCCGAGAACTTATTTATTATATTATATAGAAAATCTTCACGCTCGCGATGCGCACAAAGCAACTCTTCTTCTACAGTAACGAGTGCGAGAGACGACAACCGTTCATTTTTCATTGGCCTTCTATACGTTTTAATGCGCTTCAAAGAAGAAAAACGACTTTCACCCGAACTGCTCGTCAATGGAATTGTTGCGATCAAAGCAAATAACTTGTACGCTTCCGGAAATAAGCTTCGAAAGTCATTAACTACGAAGTCTTTCAAAACACCGTCCAGATTTAATTTCGCAAACTCTTCATCTTGATATATAACGCCCAACTCGTTAACCAATCTTTGTTTATCGAAAAGGTCTACGTAGAAGCTGGTCAAATCGCACACTAAATCGATTGGGAAGTTTTCAGAGTAATCTCTGAAATGCGAAGAATCGAACAGAGCAAAATACAATAACTGCGACATATCCCCAAGTCTTACGTCTAACTGTGTTACAGTGTTGTCAATTATTTCATAAAATAATACCCGCAAAGACGCTTTTTCATCACCACTAACAGTGTGTGATAGTTTAAACCTTTTAGCTGAAGGCCCTTGAATGTCATAAGACATCCGAGATTTTGCCTTATAAAACAATTCTTTAAATTTATCTTCATTTCTCAACGAACTTATACTATTTCTCGCTGAAGATGCTTGCATTTTGCAATAATCAACATCTAACGAATTTACTTGAAGTACGCGAGATACAATATCGGTAATATCGAAGATGTTTTTATATACGAGTGTTAAGAAGGAAAACTCCAAATCGTTCATACACTTAAGGTAGCCCTTAGCTCCACTTATGGATTCTACAGCTGAAGATTTGTCCTCGATGATATTCCTCAAAACAATTTGTAAACCGTCCCACTCGGAGCCTAAAATTTGAACGATTTCCGATGGTGTGATCCCGTTAACGTCTGAAGATGGATTTTTGTTGTCTACCACTAAACTAAGCAGGGACAATCGTTTACCCGATTGACGAAAAAAGTTTAACAATGACCTTACGACAGCGAAATAAACACGGCAGTTTTTGATACTTTTGGAGCCGTCCTGTAAAACTAAGTTTAGGTCGTGGGCGCTGCAATGCGTAAGTAAAGCGTTTGGTGCGTCGTTTTTAACTTTTCTTTGCAAGCCGTCCAAGGACGCTGCCGCTACACAAGCGCCATCATAGCACTGGCCTACTAACTTCGTTTTATAATTAAAAGGACCTAAAACGGTTGTAATTAAACTGTATACTGCATCGGCAGAGCTATCTTCAGTTACGTCGTGAAAACCCAGAAACCGTTCTTTAATTTCACCGAATGTATTAACAAATCGAACCGAAACGGCATATTGTGGATTCTCGAGGATATATGTGGCGTCGCCGACTTGTACAGAGAAAATGTCAGATTTAGTTATTTCTTGGTGTATTGTTTCCATGACATATTCCGCTATTGAAGTAATTAAATCATCTTGGACAGTTTCCGAAACGTCTTCAATTTTTTTTAAGTGTTCTTGAATTTCAGAATCGCGTGTAATAATTAAATCTAACGTCTCGCGAAAGTTGTTAGCGCTGAACGCATCGTTATTCCCCGCGAACAATTCTTGTTTCGCCAAATAGCAAATTACATCTATTAAATACGTCAGTAACTTGTGATTTTTCCTAACATCCTCATTGTACAACTTCAGAGAGGTATCCGACTGCGTTTTCGAAGCTTTTCTAGTGTTACTGTCCGCTTCTAACCGTTTTAGGCTAAGGTAGTTACTTAAATGCTCCTTTGACAACTCGTGCTTTTTTATGCAGGCGGAAAGGTTTTTTAAATCCACCACGCCTTGCGAAACCCACAAGTTATTCTTAGTTTTCGTCAACAGTAAACACGGCCAGCAAAACAAACGTTGTTTTTGGGAGCTTCCGCATAACCAGGGATGACCGTCATACCAGTCGGTTTTAAAATTTCGAGAGAAAACTTGACCCAATTTTTTATCCAACTGGGAAATGCCGAGGCAAGGCGTGGGGCGACCCCGAATTAAAATTTCGTCTTTAGTGTCGTCATCGAGTTCAAAAAATGGCGTTTCCAATAAGGAAGAAACTACATCGAGGTTTGTATCACACATATTCAAACGCAGTCGAACATTAAAACGTAAAAACAAAATGAAATAAAATTACTTATCTGTGGGTGTGCTTCATTGAAAAAGATGGTTAACTAAACAAATTAAAACTTGACGTACTTAAACAATTACCGGACACTCTTAAACTATAAAATTTACAGGTTTTATACCTTCAACCAGTTACCCGTAGTAAAAACACAGCAGTCCTGACGAAAGGTGACGGGGAAATAAAAGGCGGTTGCGGTCGCCGCTTAGCAACAGACCTGGTTTCTTCTATCCTCACCGCCCTGCCTGCCAATGCCGATGTTTCTCTTTGGTCCACGTGACATGGGAACGCCAGACCAAGGCGACGGACAGGTTACTGGATTTTGTAACTGAAACAAAGGTAACGATCAATTTTAATCCTTGATTTCGTTGTCTACAATTCAACAAAAGGTTTATTTCCCGGAAACTGTTTACTTACATCGACTATCAATAAATAACAATTTAGTAGTGTTGAATTTGTTCGTTTCGAATAAATCGTCATGTGACAATTGCAAAAAAAATGTGCATCTATATCATTTGGGAAAAATTTTATATTATGATAAATATCGATATTGTCAATTATCTGTGCACTGTTCAAAACACTAAATAAAACGTCAGTATTGTTTTTAGAAGTCTTGTACATTTTTTTTTTATTAGTAGCAAAATGCTGAAGAGAATGACAACTTTTTTAAGGTCTATTGAACAAAAGTATGGGTTGCACGCCTATAAATCGGAACCTCAGAGGAATAAGTAAACATAGAGGACACATTAATGATTTGTTGACGCAACCGGAACGTTTTTGTTTACAAACTGTAATATTAGCGCGGTTGACATATTTCATAATAGTCATTCATAATCAAATGTTAAGCGGAAGAGTTTTAGTACCTAATTAAATGGTGATAATCTTAATGTTATTTACCATAGACATTTTACATTTTAATTGAGATGCAATTATTATATTGTTGTCATCGTTATTTTGAATTTATATGCTCTAAGAAATCGGCAGAATAAGTTATTTTTTTACGGGCTGGCAACACTGTTGGTTAGTTGTATGTTTACATAGAGCTGCAGAGTTGCATATTTATTTCGTGTTTATAAGCGATATTTTGAGAATCTGTGCGTTGGCCTGTTATTTTACTTTATTANAACAATTGAACATTCCTTCCGAATCACTAGATCCGACAACGGTGTGGAGTTGAACAAAATGCAGATGGAGATGGAAAAAACAAGAACGGGTTCATTCCTGTCAGCAGTTCCGGAAAACTTGTTAAAATTTATTTACTGCAAATCACAAAATGGATGTCCTGGAGTCTGTGGATGCATGAAAAGTTATATCGAAGTGCTTCACTAATTGCACGTAATTCGTAAGATCCATTATAAGATAGCAATGAAGAGGACAAATGCCAACATATTGACAAAAGCTTATACTTCGCAGATATAACGGAATATGTAGACAAGATATACATATGAACACGTAGACAAATTTTAATCCCTATTTGTAATTTTGTTAGGTTTTTACTTTTTTCTAGAAGATAGATTTCCAATATATAGATCTAGAGTTACAATCTATGTAAATCGTTCTCCGTTGGCGATCATATTTACGAACAGAAATGACAGAAACCATATACCTATAAAAGAGTTTTGTTTTCTAAGATCTATTTAACATGCTGATGATGACGATGGCAATAACTTGAAAACATCAATGTACACCTTCCAGAAGCTTCTTTCTCTGCCTTCGACTTCACATCAGATGTGTTAAAATACCCATCCCAATAACATATACCATATTTTGGGTATACGACCAACATGGTAACTGGGGGTATTATAACAAAAACATCCAAAACTGTGGTCAGTAACAACAGGAACACTGTCAGGATAAATGAAAAAAAAAACTCAAAACGGTTTATTAAAAAATTTTATTTTGAATAAAATATTTATACAAAAAATAGGTATACACTTGGGTTTTTTATATAGTTTGAACATCTCAAATACCTCAACGTTTTAAAGCTAAATATGACACGAAAAATCAGAATTTATTCAATTTTCAATTTTTTTAATCAGAAACAAGTTTTGTATCAGTTTTCGATAAATTTGTTTTTACCTAAAATATAATAGACAAGAGACAGCAAGATTTTATTTTCCAACATTTCAAAAAAAAATTTGCATTTTCAATTTTACACCAACTATTAATTTTCAAACTTCTGGTAAATTGTTTATTTTTACATGTAAACATTTTAATATATAAATATAAAGGAACCTTTATAGGGGTAATGTCAAGGCTTAAATTATAGTTTTTGTACTTATTTAACACATTTTTATATAAAAAAAGCTAAAGTTCATTAAACTTGTTCATCGAGTTACGACGCTTATTTTAAAATTTTATTTTGATTTTTTAAGTTAGACATACATTTATTCAAAAAATGTTATCGAGGTTTTCTGTTATTTGCTGTTACAATCTTTGCTGTACCTTAACCATATTTAAGAGAAAATTTCGGTGAGTACTTCGGAAACGTCGTTTTTGCGTGGGGTGAATGACACCCCGTGTGTACAATATATTTTTTTTAATTCTCAAAATATTTTAGTATTATTTTCAAGAAACATAGGATCATTGTGAGAAGTCAATTTTTCACGTTTGGTGATATTGCGTGGTTTTAGAGAGATGTCGCCCAATCTTCGAAGTCGAGCACTTCGACAACAACTGCTTGATGAAATCAACGCTGACGATGAAATATTTGGAGGCGAATTGAAGCGATCACGAGGAAGATCATGTTTCGGAGCATTCAGATTATAAAGCATCCCACGTGTTCGAAGATGAATTGGACGGAGAATTAGAAAATGCTGCTTTGCAACGTCTCGAACAATCACGTGCACGAGGAAGGCCACAATCCAAGTTGAAAAGAAAAAACGGCTATACCTGAAGTATGTAGTTTAGCTCCGAAACGAAGATCAAGTGTCTCACAATATTTACGGGCGTAAATCCGCCATGTTGATGACGCAAGTGTGTGTTGACCGCCAAGTTGAACGTTCGTAATTACACCAATAGTTTTTCTTTTCGTTCGGATCAATAAATAGAAAATAAAGATATAAGTCAATCAATCAATAAATCAATCACTTCAAAAGCCCTAAAAATAACAAGTAACTTTTTAGCACAGTTCAGTGCATCCGTTCTTCTTTTCTCTTCTTTCGGATCGGTTCAGTGGCATCCAGTCGCCAGATGTTGGACCAATAGATGCTGCATCGAATATCGATTCGTTTGAAGGATTTGGGATATTATCTTTCCTACAGAGATTTTCGAAATAATTGTCGAACATACAAATGATGAAATTGAAGACGTTTGTGCAGATATGATAGAGAGAAATATACTTGTGCACCGGAAATCAAGACATTGCTCAGCATTTTCTATTACGGTGGTCTGTGGAAATCCTCAACCGTCAACAACACTCACAATTAAGAAGCGAAAATGGAGTTACTTTTTACAGATGTACATATTATGTCAAAGAATCGATTCATATTCTTGGAAAATTGTTTATGTTTCGACGACAAAAAAAAAACAAGAGAATTATAAAATTCTCACCGATATGTCAATTCTGGGAAATATTTATAAGTAATTGTCAACGTGATTATACACCAAGAAATTTATGTACAGTCGACAAGCAATTATTAGACTTCAAAGGTCGTAGTTCTTTTAGAGGCCTCGAAATCATGTCATTGAATGATGTGGAAACTTCCTACATGGTAAATGAAAATTCTCTCACACTGTAATAATTTACATCGAAGTGATTTAGGTTCATTATGTTACTCATTTATTTCCAGATTCATGAGATTCCTTACTTCGCGATGGCAATCAGACGGCAGCAATCGTCAGTACTGTCCGAAACGCCTGTACTGTATAAACATTTGGCGACCGACCATCTCAAGGAAATACATTGTAAGTATAATGAGTTTGCGCAATAATCTGAGACTGGGGATCGCTGGCAATCTCGAAATAGATGTAAAGGCAGCTTTACTACAGACAACGTAAATGTGAAGTGAACTATGTCCAAGAGCCAGCGACAAAAGAACGAGTGTTCATGTTTCATCGAAGCATATGGAAAGGCATTGATGCAAGAAACAGTTTTAATGCTGGGGTGGCATCCACCCCGTGTGTATCGTATGCTGAATTATTTTGAGGTGTGTACAGCAAAGGTTAAACAACATCCCTCTTATGGGCATAGGAATATGTAAGTTTCTTTTTATATTCAAAATGTACAGCGTTCATAAAATTGGTGTAAAGATGTATACTGAAAAAATAAACAACTTTTCTCTGACGCTTCTTAAAATTATGAAATATAAAGCCGTGTAAAATTTGGGAGACAGGGACGATACTATGATTGCTTACTGCACATTTGTCATATTTTTTGCGAAAATTATTGATTTTAAAAAAGTCATAAGACATAAAGGCATTTAAAATGATCGTGGAATATCAGCTTAAAAAAAGGAAAAAAGTAAAAATATATCACAAATTAACCTCCACCTTGTCTGTAACATTGTCATCTAAAACAAGAATGTAAACAGATGTTAATATCCTTCAACAAATAAGTGTTCTCTAAGTACACTGCAAATTGATTTTAAGAAATATTCCCAATGCATTTAGACAAATGTTCACTATCCAAAACACACAAAATCTGATTTAAATGACAAATTGTTTACATTTCTTTAAGTTTAAAATATATTAGTTAAAAAAAATAAAAAATTGGTATACAGAAGCACAAAATGTAATCTCTTTTCGGTACCTATTTATAAAATACGAGAAAATCACGATTCATTTTGGAATCAACTTAACAAAAACAATTGAAAAGTGGAAGTGTCAAAAGTGCTAAGTGCCATTTGTTTTACATTGATCGCACCAACAGAGTGGCATGAAAAGAGGAACTAAATTCTTGAACCGATAAGCCGTTTTCTGCGTTTCAGGAGCTTAGCTGATAATAGTTTCCTAATATCTAGTTACTATTAACTATTTGTCTGTAATTTTGTTCGTCAAAATTAGTACTTTTATATTTCAGACGAACACCCTTTTTTAAAACGAGTAAAAAGAAGCGCACACACACTATTTAACTATCTTCAGACTAAAAATGTAAGCCAAACTGATATTCAACTGAACCATTAATAAAACAAACATGAGTGGAAAAATTTGTACCATAACATTTTGCATGAAGTTCTCGGGAAAAAAAGTGTGCGCGCAAGACGGCGTCAATGCCGAAATTTTTGTTGGCTTTAATTTTTGTTCTTTCCTGTTTTATGTTTTCTTGTTGAGTTTTGAACTATGAAATAATAACATGAGATAGATGAGATGTTTGTTGGATTCCATGGGTCATGTTCCTTTCGGAAATACTAAGCAAACCGAAGAAATATGGAATCAAAATAATGTGTCTTCACGATGCCAAAACACATTATTTAGTTAATGCCTTTGTTTACACAGGAAAGCGCACCCAACCAAATCCAAAGAAACTCTCGGTGACGACACGACCTAAAATTAATTGATCCAATAAAAAATACTAACAGGATTGTAATAGGCGATAAATGGTTTAGTTCTATTGAACTATTGAATGATCTGAATAAACAAGATCACAAATATTTCTATATGAACTTACTGCAGTGTTAAAAATTGGTACTTAGCACTTCACGTTTCCCAATTTTTTTTGGAATTTTTTTTTTTTAATTTAGTTTGTTTAATTTGTTTGGAATCAGTAAATGGATTTCATAGTAGCATAAATCATATACTGCAAATACTACGTTGTAATTTCACTAACAATTATGTAATAAAGTTTTTCCAGAATAACTCGATTTTACGATTTTGGCAACTTAAACACCGTTGATATTTCCACTACAATTTGCATAGTTAAATTTTCCGAAAATCGATTAATAAAAAAATTCCATAAATACAGATATAATCTGATAATGCAGATAAATTTTTTATTAATACACAGCCTTCTTTAACCTCTCTACTTTTATTTCGTTACAATTATTTTTTATAGACCAAATTGAAACGATTATTTTTTGCCGAGAACTTATTTATTATATTATATAGAAAATCTTCACGCTCGCGATGCGCACAAAGCAACTCTTCTTCTACAGTAACGAGTGCGAGAGACGACAACCGTTCATTTTTCATTGGCCTTCTATACGTTTTAATGCGCTTCAAAGAGGAAAAACGACTTTCACCCGAACTGCTCGTCAATGGAATTGTTGCGATCAAAGCAAATAACTTGTACGCTTCCGGAAATAAGCTTCGAAAGTCGTTAACTACGAAGTCTTTCAAAACACCGTCCAGACTTAATTTCGCAAACTCTTCATCTTGATATATAACGCCCAACTCGTTAACCAATCTTTGTTTATCGAAAAGGTCTACGTAGAAGCTGGTCAAATCGCACACTAAATCGATTGGGAAGTTTTCAGAGTAATCTCTGAAATGCGAAGAATCGAACAGAGCAAAATACAATAACTGCGACATATCCCCAAGTCTTACGTCTAACTGTGTTACAGTGTTGTCAATTATTTCATAAAATAATACCCGCAAAGACGCTTTTTCATCACCACTAACAGTGTGTGATAGTTTAAACCTTTTAGCTGAAGGCCCTTGAATGTCATAAGACATCCGAGATTTTGCCTTATAAAACAATTCTTTAAATTTATCTTCATTTCTCAACGAACTTATACTATTTCTCGCTGAAGATGCTTGCCTTTTGCAATAATCAACATCTAACGAATTTACTTGAAGTACGCGAGATACAATATCGGTAATATCGAAGATGTTTTTATATACGAGTGTTAAGAAGGAAAACTCCAAATCGTTCATACACTTAAGGTAGCCTTTAGCTCCACTTATGGATTCTACAGCTGAAGATTTGTCCTCGATGATATTCCTCAAAACAATTTGTAAACCGTCCCACTCGGAGCCTAAAATTTGAACGATTTCCGATGGTGTGATCCCGTTAACGTCTGAAGATGGATTCTTGTTGTCTACCACTAAACTAAGCAGGGACAATCGTTTACCCGATTGACGAAAAAAGTTTAACAATGACCTTACGACAGCGAAATAAACACGGCAGTTTTTGATACTTTTGGAGCCGTCCTGTAAAACTAAGTTTAGATCATGGGCGCTGCAATGCGTAAGTAAAGCGTTTGGTGCGTCGTTTTTAACTTTTCTTTGCAAGCCGTCCAAGGACGCTGCCGCTACACAAGCGCCATCATAGCACTGGCCTACTAACTTCGTTTTATAATTAAAAGGACCTAAAACGGTTGTAATTAAACTGTATACTGCATCGGCAGAGCTATCTTCAGTTACGTCGTGAAAACCCAGAAACCGTTCTTTAATTTCACCGAATGTATTAACAAATCGAACCGAAACGGCATATTGTGGATTCTCGAGGATATATGTGGCGTCGCCGACTTGTACAGAGAAAATGTCAGATTTAGTTATTTCTTGGTGTATTGTTTCCATGACATATTCCGCTATTGAAGTAATTAAATCATCTTGGACAGTTTCCGAAACGTCTTCAATTTTTTTTAAGTGTTCTTGAATTTCAGAATCGCGTGTAATAATTAAATCTAACGTCTCGCGAAAGTTGTTAGCGCTGAACGCATCGTTATTCCCCGCGAACAATTCTTGTTTCGCCAAATAGCAAATTACATCTATTAAATACGTCAGTAACTTGTGATTTTTCCTAACATCCTCATTGTACAACTTCAGAGAGGTATCCGACTGCGTTTTCGAAGCTTTTCTAGTGTTACTGTCCGCTTCTAACCGTTTTAGGCTAAGGTAGTTACTTAAATGCTCCTTTGACAACTCGTGCTTTTTTATGCAGGCGGAAAGGTTTTTTAAATCCACCACGCCTTGCGAAACCCACAAGTTATTCTTAGTTTTCGTCAACAGTAAACACGGCCAGCAAAACAAACGTTGTTTTTGGGAGCTTCCGCATAACCAGGGATGACCGTCATACCAGTCGGTTTTAAAATTTCGAGAGAAAACTTGACCCAATTTTTTATCCAACTGGGAAATGCCGAGGCAAGGCGTGGGGCGACCCCGAATTAAAATTTCGTCTTTAGTGTCGTCATCGAGTTCAAAAAATGGCGTTTCCAATAAGGAAGAAACTACATCGAGGTTTGTATCACACATATTCAAACGCAGTCGAACATTAAAACGTAAAAACAAAATGAAATAAAATTACTTATCTGTGGGTGTGCTTCATTGAAAAAGATGGTTAACTAAACAAATTAAAACTTGACGTACTTAAACAATTACCGGACACTCTTAAACTATAAAATTTACAGGTTTTATACCTTCAACCAGTTACCCGTAGTAAAAACACAGCAGTCCTGACGAAAGGTGACGGGGAAATAAAAGGCGGTTGCGGTCGCCGCTTAGCAACAGACCTGGTTTCTTCTATCCTCACCGCCCTGCCTGCCAATGCCGATGTTTCTCTTTGGTCCACGTGACATGGGAACGCCAGACCAAGGCGACGGACAGGTTACTGGATTTTGTAACTGAAACAAAGTTAACGATTAATTTTAATCCTTGATTTCGTTGTCTACAATTCAACAAAAAGTTTATTTCCCGGAAACTGTTTACTTACATCGACTATCAATAAATAACAATTTAGTAGTGTTGAATTTGTTCGTTTCGAATAAATCGTCATGTGACAATTGCAAAAAAAATGTGCATCTATATCATTTGGGAAAAATTTTATATTATGATAAATATCGATATTGTCAATTATCTGTGCACTGTTCAAAACACTAAATAAAACGTCAATATTGTTTTTAGAAGTCTTGTACATTTTTTTTTTATTAGTAGCAAAATGCTGAAGAGAATGACAACTTTTTTAAGGTCTATTGAACAAAAGTATGGGTTGCACGCCTATAAATCGGAACCTCAGAGGAATAAGTAAACATAGAGGACACATTAATGATTTGTTGACGCAACCGGAACGTTTTTGTTTACAAACTGTAATATTAGCGCGGTTGACATATTTCATAATAGTCATTCATAATCAAATGTTAAGCGGAAGAGTTTTAGTACCTAATTAAATGGTGATAATCTTAATGTTATTTACCATAGACATTTTACATTTTAATTGAGATGCAATTATAATACTGTCGTCATCGTTATTTTGAATTTATATGCTCTAAGAAATCGGCAGAATAAGTTCTTTTTTTACGGGCTGGCAACACTGTTGGTTAGTTGTATGTTTACATAGAGCTGCAGAGTTGCATATTTATTTCGTGTTTATAAGCGATATTTTGAGAATCTGTGCGTTGGCCTGTTATTTTACTTTATTAGACAATTCTAGTGTAAGAGACAATGGTTAAAAGTAGAAAAACGTATTCGTTTTTCAAATCGTATGGAGACGTCAACCTAACCTATCATAGGTAAGTGTTTTAAAATGTTTTCTGACCATTGGCGTAGAATAGCGAAATTCCACTAAAACAAATGTGATATTAATATGTGATGTTTTTGTAGGTTTCCATCGAATGTAGAAAAATTGAAAATATGGTGTGATGCACTAGGACGTGTTTGGAAAAATTTGAGATATTCTGAGATTTCAGAAAACGAAAAAGCTAATGTAGCTCTTGATAGCACAGCTATTTTACATTGTTCAAGTGTCTTACCAAAAGTTGAGATTAACTACGATGCATGAGTTACACAACAATAATTTGTATTGCACAAAAGCGAGTACATGGAACTTAACATTGTATTGCCAAGATGTAATAGCATATGCTGCCGGTTTTGTAGCTAGACAGTTAAAAAAAATTGTAAACTGCAGTTCCTGCTTGGAGATTATTGAAAGTGATGAGATAATTTCAAAATTGTAAATAAGAAAAACATATGGATGCTTAACTAAAGCTTCTCACTTTGTTATCGAAGTTTGTAAACATGCCGAGAAATATTTTTGGAGTTACATTTCTTTAATGAAAAGGGAAAAAAGTTGACTCTGTTTTAAAATACATAAAAATTAAAGCTGCAACAAATATGCCAAGACATTTAGTAGAATATTTTCGTTTAAAACTGCATCATGAAATTTCACAACCAATTAAACCAATAAGAATATTACTAGAGTAGTAGATTTATCTTTTATAAATATAATAAATAAGCACTATTATATAATATTTCAAAGTATAAGTTTAAAAAATTGCAGAAAAATTATATATTTTAGTTAATGTAAATAATTTTAGTAATGTAAATAGGTATTAAATAAAATGTTTGAAATATCCGTAATTTTTAAAGGAAACTACTTCTAAAAATCAATATTGTGTACTGTCAAACCTAGTCCAATGTGTAGGTGTACGTATACTAATAATTTTTTTATTAAATGATTAATACCTATGATTTTCAACTCAGATGTGCCTAATACATAAAATGGTATCATGTACAAATTAATAATTTGAAAATTAATCATAATAATGCAAAATATTTTGTTCCTTCAATAGAAATAAATATATCAACTTGTTTAAAGAATAGTACCCAAGTATTTGGGCACGCCACTGAAGTGTATTGTTTACTGCACCTCTAGCAGCTATTTTTGTTTTTCCTACTCACTCTATTATCTATCTGTTGCTGTTGCTGTTACTACAAATGAATGTTATTTAGTGCTTAGGGCCTCTCTATGTTTACTTATTCCTCCAAGATCGGAACATATTGTGTGTAATGTCAATTTATACAGGGTGTATATAAATAACACAATAACAATGTAAAAGGCGATTGTCTGATGAAAATTAGTACCGGTCTTTGGTATAAAATATTTTGAAAAAACTCCCCTGAAAAGTTACGCCCCTACAAACATTTAAACAAAAATTGTTTTTCTTTTTTATTTTCCGTGTATAACAATCTAAAGAAACCAAACTTGGTGAACAATATCTGTCAAAAAAACTAATTTCTGAATTTTTTTCAACCCTGAAGTATTTTTGTAAGGGGTTAAAATAATCCCTTTGAATTTTTTTCTTATGATTTTTCTTCGATAAAATTTCCTTCTAAAACATGTCTAAAAAGCCTCATTCATTTACTTTTACTTTTTGATCTCTTCAAGTTTTTTCGAAAAGTTAAAGATTTATAAGAAAAAAGGTAAATGTATTTGCAATGCATTTTTAAAAAGATGAGCTGGCGGACTGTCAGCAGTCTTCGCCCCGAGGTGGCGGGCGCCACATACACCTCACTAATAAAACTAATGTTCAGTAATTTCAATAAATTTGAAGATAGGCTGCGATCAACACAATCAATTCTTAAAATACACTCGCGTTAAACAGCTCATCTTTTTCATAAATCTCTTAATTTTTCGAAAAAACGTGAGAGACCAACTTTTTGAGTAAATGAATTGGGGCTTTTTAGACATATTTCTGAAAAGGAAAAAATTTTATCGAATAAAAATAAGAAAAAATGTCAGGTCTTGATTATTTCAACCCCTTACAAAAATACTTCAGGGTTGAAAAAATAGTGCAGTATTTACAAAAATATGCCACTGATACCCTGTATCTCCGCCACTGGAGCATGTGAATTTTAGGAAAATATTTTTTGAAGTTATATAGGAAAAACTCCCCTTAAAATTCACCAAAGCATAAGAGGTTTCATTTTTGGTCATCATTTGTAAATCACCCTGTAGGGCGCTAAACAAAAAAATAGTTAAATACCGATATCCTTTACGGCTGATGAGAGGCTTAACTAGACTCACTGCAAGACGCCAAAATATTTAGTACAATATATAGAGACGTCGAAAAATCTCGATCCGATCAGTTGTATTCATATTTTAGTTCATTTAGCTTACTGTGTTTTTATATTAAAATAAAGCCTTATATTCAACGAGTTGCGGACAACCTCTTTATACAGTGTATTCCTTAAGTAGAAGTCAAAAATTCAGGGGCGTATTATGTGGCTAAAAATAAGAATTTTTTGTTATATAAATGTCAAAAATTAAAAAATCAGTTTTTAATTTTTAATTTCTAAACCGCTTGAGATAATTTGGTCGAAATTCAGTGTACATATTTTGTATGACAGTAGATATGAAACATAAAATTACCAGCTTTAAAAACTTACCAGTGGCGGAGGTGTGGGTATCATCGATCATTATTTGCCAATAAATATATATCACCCTGTATAATATTACAAATAAAATTGTATCTTTTCGTTTCTTTGCACTTTTTTGGATTCCAAACCGATTGACAACAAAATTGATTTATTTGATCAAGAGCATTTTTACATAGTTAGGTACTTAAATTACTTAAACATATCTTAGGGAAGCCATGCAAAACAATAATAATAAGCCTTCATCTTATTTAATATTGTGTATTGTCAAATTAAGCTTATTTTTTTAAGAGATTAAATTTTAATAATGGAAAATTCAAATACTGAAATGACTAATATAGTTTATTTTCATGGTCTTGCAGATTGGAAATGGTACTGATGCTAGGGGAATTTATATGGAAAGATTTTGCCACTGGATTTTGCCAAAAATTTTTTAAAAATTTTGACTTTACCACTGGCATATTGTTTACCGACGAAGCTAATTTCTCGAGAAATGCTATAATGAACTTCCACAATAAACACGTTAAGTCTGATGAAAACCCTCATGCCATAATGGAATCTCGATATCAACATCAGTTTTTTTTTAATGTATGGGTGGGTTTTATTGGAAATTTTCTTGTTAGACTTACTTTTTACCAAGAATTTGGTGCTTCCTACAAACATGTTCTTGAAAACGTTTTACCTGAATTATTTGACGATGTTCCCTATGCGCTAAGAGAAAGAATGTGGTTTATGCACGACGGGGCTCCCTTACATTTTAGTTTGACTGCTCGTGAATTTTTAAATAAAAGATTCGGTAATAACGTGATTGGACGAAGCACTAAAAAAACCAGGTCAACCTTGGCCACCCAAATCACCCGATATGAACCCTATCGATTTTTTTTGTTTGGGGACATCTCAAGACATTAGTTCATATTGAATCTGTGGAGCACTTACGTCAACAAATTATAGCCGGTTGTAATGTGATAAGAGCTACTCCTGGAATTGTAAATACGTTCGAGTTGCTATTTCAAGAAGATCTGAAGCATATATTTTGGTTGAAGGTAGTCATTTACAACATTTGTTATAATAAATCATAGTAAGGTAATTTCATTGTTAATTAATTATTTTGTTATTATTATAAGTCGTGTAATGATTACCGTAAAAATGCACTTGATCAAATATATTAACTTTGTTGTTAATCGGTTTGGTATACAAAAAAGTGTAAAGAAACAAAAAGTGAAGACAATACAATTGCGCATATGACGGCCTATTTTATTTGCAATATTATACAGGGTGATATATATTTTTTTGTCAAATAATGATTGATGATACCCAAACCTCCGCCACTGGTAAGTTTCTAAAGCTGGTAATTTTTTGTTTCATATTACTGCCACTAAATATGCACATCGAATTTGGTTAAATTATCTCAAGAAGTTTAGAAATTAAAAATTAAAAAGTGGAAGTTGCATGTATAAGGATACACACATAA